TTTGGGTGACGACGCTGATATGTTTGAAGTGGGCGAGTGGGGGGGTCAACCATAGGGGTAACTAGTGGGTCAGGTTCCCTAGAATGATGGGGGATAATGACAGATGGGACTTCCGGAAGAGGTGTGAGAATACTTTCCCGTAGAGGTTCTGTAGTTACTTGGTTGGATTCGAAATATGGAACAAACTCGAAGAAGGTAACATCGGCGGATACGAGGTATCGTTGTAGAGTATGTGAGTAGCAACGATAACCTTTTTGGGATCGATGATAGCCAAGAAAGACACACTTTAGTGATCGAGCTGATAGTTTATCAAGACCAGGGGAGAGATTGTGTACAAAACACGTTGACCCGAAGACTCGAGGAGGAATTGGGTGGAGTGGAGAGTTTGGAAACAAGATTGAATGAGGGATTTTATTATTAAGGACAGATGAGGGCATGCGATTTATGAGGTAACATGCTGTGAGCACCGCATCTCCCCAAAACCGGAGAGGAACATTACCATGGAGAAGTAGTGTCCGAGTGGTTTCTACGAGGTGCCGATTTTTGCGTTCGGCTACCCCGTTTTGTTGGGGTGTATGAGGGCAAGATGTTTGGTGCAAAATACCATTGGATGACATAAATGTTTGAAATTATTGGGATAAATATTCACGTGCATTGTCACTTCTTAGGGTACGAATAGATAAACCAAATTGGGTTCTTATTTTTCGATAAAATTGTTCAAAAATAGAAAACAATTCAGACCTGTTCTTCATTAAAAATAACCATGTGCAACGTGAAAAATCATCAATAAAGGTTACAAAATACCTAGACTCAAAAGTAGACACGGTACGTGAAGGACCCCAAACATCGGAGTGGACTAAAGCAAAAGGGGACGCAGCCCGTTTATTGACTCGATCGGAAAAGTGACTACGAGTATGTTTCCCTAACTGACAAGACTCACAATGTAAAGTGGATAATTTAGATAAACTGGGCACCAACTTTTGTAGCTTGAGAAGACCTGGATGACCTAACTGCGCATGTATAATGAGTGGAGAATCTGTGGTGGAGCATGTGGTAGATGACGTAGAGAAGTAGTAGAGGCCTTGAGACTCACATCCGACGCCAATCGTCTGTCCCGAACTCCGATCCTGCAGAGTAACATTACTATTAGTAAAGGTGATAGAACAATTAAGGGAACGAGTTAAACGACTGACTGACAGTAAATTAAATGGGCAATTAGGTACATAAAGGACAGAAGTAACAGAGAGAGACGGTAAAATTTGAACAGTACCAATCCCTTGGGATCGGGTTTGAGAACCATTTGCTGCAATTATAATAGGCAAGAAACCAGAGGTAGAGAGGGAGGAAAAAAGACCTTTATTACCAGTAACATGATCAGACGCACCAGAGTCAAGGACCCAAGGACCAAGAGGAGATGATTGAGAGAAGCAAACAGATGAATTACCAGTGTGTGCAACCGAAGCAGTGGAACCAGAGATCTGATTAGTCTGACACCATCTGAGAAAATCTTCGTAGCTTGGCGTAGGGTTCTGAATAGAAGGTGAAGTCTGCATAGTTTCTGAGTTATCACTTTGAGCTGCATTTACCTGGCGTGGGGGTTTGCCATGTAGCTTCCAACAACGGTCGATAGTATGTCCAAGCCGGTTACAATGGTTACACTTGGGACGAGGTTTGGAGTTGGATGACCCTCCTCGAGGACGACTCTGATTGTTGCCCAGAGATGCGAGGGCAGCAGTGTCACCTGGTGTAGCAACAGTAGATGGAGGGGAAACCGGACCAAACGCATGAGGTGTAGCCAAGCGCAACAGTTGTTCACTAACTGCATCACAGTTAGGAACAGTAGTACCTGATAAAATCTGGTTACGAACGGAGTCGAGTTCGGATGGTAGTCCTTTAAGTGCCATCACCATGAAAAATTTACTCTGTTGTTCGGCATGAGCTGTTGCGTCTTTTGCGTACGGCATGAGGGTTGCATAACTTGCTTTCAAAGCATCAAGGTTACTCAGATAGGTTTGCATATCCATATTTTCCATCTTTAGTGTGTCGAGTTTGAGGATGACACTGTATAGACAATGAACGTCGTTGGAGAAGACTTTCTTGGCCTTTTCCCAAACTTCATAGCAAGTGGAGAAGGCTTGATACTGTGCTTGGAGGTTAGGTGCTATGGAGAACCATAACACGGTAAGGAGAGAGGCATCTGTTTTCTTCCATTTAGCAAGTTTGTCGGAGGCAACATTAGTCAATTGTGTGGTTAGGTGATCTTCATATCCCTGACCACGAAACCACATATCGACAGCACGCGCCCATATGTTATAGTTTGCTGATCCGGTCAATTTTTCACATGGGATAAGAGGAACTTTAGTAAACGAGTCTCCCATAGCTTAATGACACAAACAATCGGGGTTGCTTGCACTGGAGCACCGTTTTCCGTGAGTCGAAAAGTAAAACAGAGGCCGGATCTGGAATGGGTGAGGAGAGGTGAGTAGATCAGCAGAAAAACGGTCGGAATCAGCCGCCGGTCGCGCTGGGGCAGCAGCGGGAAAAAGGGGCTCTGGGTTATGGGCTCTGATACCATGTTGAAATACAAGAGACTAAGAGACATGAATAAACCGTGTGTTTTGAAAAACACTACGGAGACATTATTATATATAAATAGATTACACCTAATTACATAATATAGTCGATGTGGGACTATTCTATATACAAATATTCTTAACACTTTATATATATATTTACAAATATCAACACTGAACAAAGCCATCTATGGGCTGAAGCAGGCACCTGTGGCATGGTTTGAGAGACTCTTTAGTGTTATGCATACTCTTGGTTTCATCACAAGCAAGTGTGATCCTTCCTTGTTTATCTTGACTGCTACTACTCACACTATCTTCATGCTAGTTAATGTAGATGACATAATTGTCACAGGAAATTCTCCTAGCCACATTCATACTTTAGTCACTAAACTCAATGCTCAATTTTCTCTCAAACAACTTGGGAATCTAAACTATTTTCTGGACATTGAGGTATCCAAAACTCCTCAAGGAGGTTTATTTCTCTCTCAAACCAAATACCTTAGAGATCTCTTAGCCAGGACCAATATGAGTGAGGCTAAGAGTCTTCCTACTCCTATGGTGTCTAATCTCAAGCTCACTAAGGAAGGATCAAACTATTTACCAGACCCCACTTACTATAGGTCAGTGGTAGGAGCCTTGCAATATGCTACTATCACTAGGCCAGAAATCAGTTTTGCTGTCAACAAAGCCTGCCAGTTTCTTTCACAACCTATGCAAATTCACTGGGTTGCTGTCAAAAAGATACTTAGGTATCTTAGGGGTACAATTCATCATGGTCTTCAGATGTTGCCTTTCAGCCCTCAGCAATCTCACACCATCACTGCCTACTCTGATGCTGACTGGGGGCCTGACCCTGATGATAGAAAATCCACATCAGGGTCATGTATATTCCTAGATCATAACCTTGTTTCCTGGTGGTCTAAGAAACAAACCCTTGTAGCTAGATCCAACACTGAAGCAGAATACAGGAGCTTAGCTAGTACTGCATCAGAAGTTCTTTGGATCAAATCACTCCTTGCAGAATTAAAGGCACCCTCTCAAACTCCAGTACTCTATTGTGATAATTTGAGTACTGTGGTCTTGTGTCATAATCCTATTCTCCATGCCAAGACCAAGCACATGGAGCTAGATATTTTCTTTTTAAGAGAAAAAGTGCTCAATCACACATTTCTTGTCAGGCATATCTCAGCCATTCTACAGACTGCTGACATTTTACAGACATTCTGACCAAGCCTCTCTCTGCACTCAGGTTTCTCAGTCTCAGGGATAATCTCAAAGTCATTGACAAGTCTTCTCTTCTATGTGTGGAAATGGCTACCTCAGGGAGCAGCATCATTTGAGGGGGAAATATTAGAGTATAACTATGCTTTATATTAACTATGCTGACCTGGCAGCACTTTGTAATAGTATTAGATCTCAGTCATAACTAATTAACTGAGTTAGTTATGCTGAGCTGTCATCTACCAATGCTAGTATAAATAGCATTCTGTTGTAATAGTTCAGATATAAGAATCAGTTAATACAAAAACACTATTCTTCTCTAAAATGCTCTCTTTGTCAAACTCTATTAGAGCTATCTAGTCCTTACCCATGGCTTTCTCATATCAAATTCCTCCTTCGCCTCCTTCACCACCATCAGCCACGGTGGCACAGCCTCCTTCTCTACACACTGGGCTGTTAAACTCATCTGCTCCGATGATAACTGCATATCAAATATTTCTTACTATGACTGCGTTTTTGCATTCAAGTTTAAGGAAGTTTAATGAGCGAAATCTTGCTCTAGCGCGAGCAAGTAGAACTAATCATCAAATCACGCCATTTATTCCATTTCGTTGTGTGCCATAATGTTCCACTATGATTTCTCACAGAGCAAGGTTGCTACATAGTTTCAGTAAGCATTGCTTGTTTTGATTGGGTGCAACATGCCTAGATGCTGCTATCTTGGCTCCAATCAACCATATTCAATGCAAACTCCAGTCCCACATTGAAAAGAGAGAAGGTCTGAAAAGGGTATATGAAGGACATCCTAAAATTACAAATCGGTTTGTGATAAGATCCGAAGTAGTGTGCCCGAAAAACCCATATCCCACAGTGAAAAATGATAACTGTTGTGCGTGAGGAGATCTGAAGAAGTAGTGTTGTGCATGAGGAGATGTATACCGAAAAACCCATATAAAGAAGTGCATCCATTAATCTACATGTCAATTTTGTAAGAAGGGGTTAGGTCAAATCCTAAACCTACGACAGGTGTTTTTAACTTTGATTTGTGTTGAACTTAACTTTGAATTTGTCATTTCTATTTTTATGAAGAATTTTGGCTGATAAATTACTTCTCTGTTGATTTTTTCTATCATGAGTTTATTTCACTTTGAACTAGACAGGGACCTTAAACTTTTATAGCTGGTTCTAATTACAATATCACTGCAGTCGAGTCTTGTTGCTGCTAGAAAGAGCCTTGCTTCAGGGAATGGCACTGTTCAACCTGTAAGACACGATCTTGTGTTGCCTCGCCACTATGATTCTGAAGATGCTTCTTCTATGGGATTTCGAACAACTAGTGGGAGCACACCTATGAAGCTTTCTGGTAGTTTTTCCGTCTCCGATGCCGGGAAGCAGGCTAATGGTACTTTGACAACTGTAAGTAATCTGATGAAGGAATTTGAGCAGCAAAGACAAACCTTCAATGATGAAGTTAAAGCTTTGAATGAGATTAAACCAGGGCAGTCTGCCAACACGAACTCAGCTGATGAACTACGGAAACTTAAACAAAGATTTGAGGGATGGAAGAAACAATACAAGGTTAGATTACAGGAGACAAAAGCAAGGCTTTCCGAATCCGAAAAAAGTCGACGAACATGGTGGGGGAAATTAAGCTCGAGAGCATAATAGCACCCAGTTTTCATGGTCTTTTTGCTGAAGTACATAAATGTTGAAGACTCAGCAACAATGGCAAAATGATTCTGGTCATGAACTGTCCTTTTGAAAAGTTTCTTCCTTTATATCTCACTATGTTGCTTGAACACTTGATAAAAGTGTTTTCAGAGTGCTACTTGGTGAATGAAATGACATTGTATATCTATCAGTTTTGTTATATGGTGGAAGTATTATAGGTTGTGCACAGTTGTAGATCTGTAGCATAGTTGTATTGATTGATCTAGTTTGCTTAGTTAGTATTTTTCCCTCTATTTAGTCCAAAACCAATCATGGCTTGCAAATACCAGATTTTCTCAAAAGTGTTGGTATCTTCAATGTAAGTGAAAAGAATTCTTGCTGTTTTGTTATGTCTAGGAACAGTTCTCTCTTGTCAATGTGATCCAAAAGATTCTCCAGTGGTCCCTTTCCAGCAACAATGGGCAGGCATGGAGAAGCCAGCCTTCCATTTTTTGTCTCCTTGAAATTGAACTCAGAAAAAGTGAAAGGGTCATTAGCAAGAGCAGGAGATATGGCTTTTATGTCACACTCTCCTACTCCAAGAAGGCGTGTGAAATACTTCAACAAAACCCAGCAAAACAATATGAAAGCCAAACACTGATAGGATGCTTTGTGCAAGAATTAGGTTTGAACCAACCTGCATGGTTGACTTGCACTGTGCACCCTAACTAATGCTCATGCACTTCATAGTGATGGAACCTTGTGCTCCAAGCACAACCCAACACGGACGGATCATCTTATCTAAGGGAATTGTACAAGACACCCTAAGAATTGCTACCACACTCGTGATAAATAAAATTTATCTATAAATTTTAGAGATATATCTTCGGACACATTTTAAATATTCAAAATTTATGTGTAAGCGAGTCACACCCTTATTTTATAAAAAAAAATGGAAATACATTTTCGAAATAAATCCAAAATATAATTTCTTAAAGTGATAGAGTTGTAATACTTTATTTTTTCTTAAGCGTCTTTTAATATTGTTTCCTCTTAAGTAGTAAGGACAAAATAAACAAAATAAATGAGAGAATTTTTTATTGTACCCTATATGTTTCTATCTTACTGTGTGAAATTCTACAAATCTACAAATATTTCTTGTTTTTGGAGATACATTTTCAGACGCATCCTATTTTTGAGTAAACGTTGACACATTCGAATTTTTTACCCAAATAATCCAACTTTTCAAAAAAATTCCCAAAATAACCCACATTTCAAAAATATTCGCAAAGTACCCTAGTTAGGGTTTGGGATTACACAAGGGAGCCAGATGAATTGGCGAAACTTGTTAAGGCTATAAGGGAGTTGCCAATTGGATTGGAGACTTCTCATGCAGACTCCAATCTAATTGACGACTGGTGTTGTACTTACAAGGGTGTCGCCAATTCATCTGGAGACCCTTGTATTTTGAAATTTTTTTTCTATAAATAGAGGTGTTCTGATCATTTACTTCCACATTTCATCTTATATCTTTGTTCTGCTGATAACGTGTATCGTTGCCGGTGAAAAAAAGTCGTCTATTCGAGAGAGAAGCATCTGATGGACATGTTGTTTTGGAACATACAAAGTTTGACATTGCATTGGAGCAGATATAATTCTCGTAACAAGAAAAATGCTTGTAATAGTCTTCAACAAACTTCTCTAGTGGGACTTTTCCAAAGAGATGTCATTTGATGGAAAAAATTGATATGTTGATAAATTCGTTGGGGATAGACAAACTGCTTAACAAGAGACTCCCATTTTCCGTCCAAAAGGAAATTCGTAAACAAAACAAGCTTCTCAAATAAAGAGATTGTCACTTGTTGTTAGGTATAAAATCCAAGAGAGCGTTGCAACAACGCTGCTCGGGAACAAAAGTTCGTCTTTAATGTGGATTTGTAAAAATAGATTCTTCCTGGGGAGACAAAGTATTCAAAGGTGAAAAATAAATGCGCTCTCAATCTAGGTTTTATAGTCTAGAGAGATTCAAAACTCGAATTTCCAGAGACTAGGTTCAATCTAGGAATAAACTGGAGAGAAACAGTCAAACAAGACTCTATCCAATGACGAATGAAATCAACTGGGGATTTATCCTATCCATGAATGGAAAGGAAAGCTAAAGCAAGAATCTTCCACGAGGGATAACCTTAGTAGGATGTTAGAAAGGATATGCATTTTTTGCTTAAGGTTGACAATTCTATTGGAGAGAGGAAAAATATCACCTGGAGAAAAACATAACTAAAACGAGTGAAGTAGATAAAATGTGAAATGAACATGAATTATGCATGTATGAATGAATCTTTTGTTATGTTTATACTGAAAAAATAGGTGAAAAATAAACCGGAGATGAAATAAACATCATGGTACAACCAGGTACTTGGCTAATCTCAATAAGATGAAAACATCACTGGAGATAAATCAAATGCCACATATGGAACAAACTCCTGCTACAAGGCTCAAATCTCTCTCGGGAGAAGAAGATACTTCTCGGGAAGAAACCCAAAATTCAATCTTCTAACATCAAAGATCCATTGAGGGATAACAACATGAACTCCACTTCGGGGAAAATAAAGATCCACTAGGGAAAGGATCACTTGCAGCTGGAGAAACTTGAATCAAAGCTATAGCTAGGGATAAAGTAAATTCAATATTCCGTTGGCGAAAAGAACCACATTCAGCTGGAGAAACTAGAACCCTTGAATCAAAGCTTAGTTGGGGATTCAAGTTTAGTACTTCACTGGGAAACACTAAGTTTAAAAGAAATCAATCGAGAATCCTCGAGTCACACACCCAATCTGTCATAGCCATTTGGAGTAAAAACCCATCATTTGGAGATACATGTAGGGCAGATCATAAGAACATACTTCCTAGGAGAACACATAGTTCTGCATTTCGAGATTTAACCACTCTTGGAGCAACTACTTACATTCCTTTTTATATTTACAAATCAAAGGAAAGCACACATTCTTTTCAAAAGTAAGAGCAAATACTTTAAAATTTGCTTCAAGAATTACTATCAAAAGTAAAAATGAAATTTTACAAGACAAAAATAAAAATAAGAATTACAAACAAATGGATAAAGGCTTAAATTTTATTAATAGAATGGTAGTCTGCAAACGGTGTGACTCCACAGATCATTACAAAGTTGGAGAATGGTAAATAAGGGAAAATGCTACATTAAAATACAATGACCAGTATTCTCCCTAACAACTTTGAATTCCAAATATGCTCGAGTTGCTGGTGAAATTTTTGACGGTCAAGGTTGCTTCAAATGATCAAGTTTGGCCTGATGCAATTACTCGCAATAATCCCTAACTTTTTCCTAGATCACCCTTTTGGATTTTTAATCTATCGGGATAATTATATCTGTTTATGTCTCTAATTTTTTCCTGGATCACCCTTTCGAGTTTTCAATCCACCAAGACGTCATTTTTGCCTAAGCCAACCTTTCATGTTTTCAACTTAACGAGCTATTCTTTTATTCTTTTAGGCGAAGTATTTCTTGATTGCATCAGTATTCACAAGATGATTGATCTCCTCATCATCCATAGTTGCAAGAATTAATGCACCTCCAGAGAAGGATTTCTTTACAACATATGGGCCATCATAATTAGGAGTCCATTTTCCCCTAAAATCAGTAATGAAAGACTAGATCTTCTTGAACATGAGGTTGCCTTATCTAAATATGCGAGTTTGGACCTTCTTGTCAAAAACTTTCTTTATTATCTATTGATACAACTGACCATGGCACAAACCTGTCATTCTCTTTTCTTGAATCAGATTCAAGTGATCAAATCTACTTTGACACAATTGATCCTCAGATAGCTTGGGTTCCATCAAGACCCTCATTGATGGGATTTCAACCTCCACAGGGAGCACTACTTACATGCTATATACCAGAGAAGAAGCGGTTGCCCATGTTGAAGTGTGGACAAAGGTAGGATACCCATGTAGAGTAAACATGAGCTTCTCATGCCAATCCTTGTAAGTCACTACCATCTTCTGAATAATCTTTTTGATATTCTTGTTGGTGGCTTCAACAACCCTATTCATCTTTGGTCTGTAAGAAGAAGAGTTATGGTGTTTGTTAGAACAAGATTTGTTCTTGACATATTCTCTTTTAGTTTTGATGATAACAAAAGTATTAAAAGAACAATGGTTTATTTGATGTGTGTTTTATTTATGCATGTTCTTGTTCTTATACATAAATAAATAGAATATGTTTTACTTAAGATACACTTAGAGTTGCTTCATTGCTAGCTTCTTATGGCAGAGTCTGAAGAACAATTTCTAGTGTGGTTTGACGAAGACTCTAAACTGAAGGCATCACCATTGAGATGAATTTCTACACTTAATAATTGTATATCAGCTTCTGGTACCATTCAGAGTTGGTGATAAAGTTGTGGACTATCCATACTAATGAAAGAATGTTGTATTGTCTATTCAGCCTATCAGCTCGAGCCCACAAGATTGCGAGGCTCAAGAAAAGCTGGTACGTTATATGGATGTCTTCCCCCAACGACTCTATTATTACAGAACCTCTTGAAGACTCAAAGGTTAAACGTGTTACACACTGGATTCAGAAATCTATTGTGCATCCATCTTCAACGTCTCTTATACTATGGAGAAAAAGCAAAGACGATCAAGTCACCTTCTCAACAATTAGTTTTTGGAAAGGCTATATATATGGCTGAAGATTCAAGCCTAAATTTTTAACAAGGATTCTTCTGTTGAAGGAGTAGCAAGATCAAGCAATTATCAACTCTATATAATATGCAGATTTTCTGCTTTAGGTTATAATTGTAAAATCCTTAAGATTTCTTACCCCTGTATATATTTAGAAATTTTAAGTGCTTTAGGCCTTTGTTATGGTGATTTCCCATGCCTCTGATGCGTGCATCATGTACACCTTGTTCTCTATTCTGCTGAGCCTTCAGTAGTTTATATTAAGTCTCCTGCTATGTGCTTGAGCAAAA